TCTCTCTCTCTCTCTCTCTCTCTCTCTCTCTCTCTCTCTCTCTCTCTCTCTCTCTCTACCGTAATCTCCCTACGGCATCTTAAACGTGACGTCAAGGACTCGACGGCTTAGCGAGAGGATCGTCTAGGCATGAATGGACGACGGCGGCGGCGGCGTCTAACCGGGAAACGAAACCGACCGCATTTCGGGCGAAATTTAGTGCGGAACTTTCCAATCTCCGGTTCGGCCCAAGTTCGCGAGAGCTCGCCGGAGTATATCGATTGCCGGATTCACGAGGGAGTTAAAAGCGCTATTACGTACGCCGAAAATATTTCCGCATCCCGCGGGGCACCGGCGAGTATTTCGTTTACGACCGGAAGTACATGCCGACGCGATTACACGTGGCGGTTTTGTGTTAAATGTTTGGAAGATTCAGCATCGCGTGGCGCTTTAATTTGTTACGGCGATAATCTTTCCGTGTCCCGGTTATCGTACAGGAATCGTATAGTGATTTCTTTACACGTATCTCCCTCGTCCATCTAATATACAAGTGCCAATAAAAATTCGCCTTTATCTTTAAAATTTAATTAAACACGGCGACTTTGACGTAATGACAAATGTAATTAATTCGAGACTTTTTGTGCCAATTATTTCTTGTCGTATATTTAGCATCGATTGTGCTCGACGGGTGAAATATTTTTTCTCGTTACACAACCATTTATAGAATTACAAATATAAGTCCGCTTTACGTAACGTAATTATTTTCCGTTGCCCGCTTTTATAATGATTATTATGATTATTATGAAGTTATTTGCGTAGAATGTTTCAACCGCTGCTCTTCGATGACGATCGCAAAGGGTTCTCGCACAGGCGGCACGCATAGAAATCGCGTAACTTTGCCGCGCAAACTAAAGATAGGCCCCGATACTTCCGCCGCGTTCCTTCATTCAGCGTCTGCCTATGACGCGGCAATACTACTTTCCCGTTGCATTACTTATGAGCGGAGCTATCAGATCGAGCGACGTCAACTCGCGGTATGCGCGCGCGAGCGATCGATGCCGCGCCATAAGCGCAATAAAAATAAAGCAAACGCCGCTAAGAATAAGATCGCGCGGCGGCGGTTCTCTCTTGTTCTCTTTCTCTCTCCGCTGCGCTGGCCTGCCAGGGCGATTTTTTTTCCCTCCCATTCACCGGCCGGCCGGCCGTGCGCTATCGCGAAGTAACTCGAAACTGCGCGACTCTCGAGCCGCCGCGGGCTCTTATCGTGTCGCTCCGCGAGAAGACGCGATCGATACTCGTACTCTAAATCCGTGCCCGCTATTCTGATCACGAATCTCATGACCTGCTCTAATGTCGAATTTTATTCCTGGAAATATCGTATCCGCGCCGCAGACGCAGACAAGGGGGGGGGGGGAGAATCGAACAATTAGATTTTGTGCTAATTGCGCGACGAAAATAGGCTGATTTGCGCGAGACGCGCCACGCAACCGAAACGTGTTATTTCTTCACGGGGATGTTTACGAAATCTCGAGTGTTGTCCATCGCGGGATTGACTTAAGATTCCCCGCATGAATATAAATGTATATATAGAGGAAGGTCCTCCATTATGAGATAGGGGGTTTTCAACGTCCAAATTCAATCGCAAATCTTTTCTCGCAACGGTCGCACGATCTAACAATCAATTTTCCACATGGACAGATTTCACCCCAAGGGCAATAAATTCATGGTTCAACCAACAGACGATGCCTATTAATTTAGCAGAAACTCCGCTGTATCACATTAGGAGCCTATCTCATAATAGGGGACTTTCCCCATATATGTATATGAATTTATTCGAAATCGAGCAGCCAGAGCGTCGACGAGTCTGAAATTAATCGGCCGAACTCCCCCTGTCAAGATTTGCCAAGTAAATCGGTTTTCGTTAACTTATTTACGGAAACGCTTCTCCCCTTAATTAATTTTACAATGTCGATATTCCGAAGCGAAGCCGATATTCTAGACATCGACGTACGGCGTGTATCTCGTGAGATATTAATTTGAAGCCGGGCTAAATATAAAAGTAATGATTATCCTATAAAATTTAAACGCTTCTATTTGTGCGACGGGGCAAGCTCGCGTATCGATGTGCGCCGTCCAAGCGCCCCGCGTCCTCCTGTACGCCGTCGCCCACGCGTCGCGCGAATTTGCAAATGTCACGAAAAACGTGAGAGTGTAATTTATCGCTGCAGAAACGTTTCTCCGTTTAATTAGTAAACTTAATTAATTTTAACGCAAAGTCAATATGATATTATACAATGCAGGTGTTACCGGCGAAAGTCCCGATTTGCATTGTGCACAACTGCGCTCGCGCGCGCGCTCGAGAGAGAGAGAGAGAGAGAGAGAGAGCGAGCTGCGCGGCTCGAGTCAAATTGCTAAAATTGGGTCTTTTCGAAATTACGCAAAGGAAGAAGTTACTCCATGACGAGTACCTCGGTATTAAATCTCTTCGGCGTCGTTTAAATTAAAAGTAACTAATCTTTCTCGACCGGAAGTTTTGTATTTGTTTTTTTTTTTTTAAGCAAACTCACAGCGTGACCAATAATTTTTGTTCTCTCGCATTACTTACGCGCATAAAAAAAGTCTTCTGTCGTGGTTTGATTAAAGAAAATTCAGTTGCCAAAAAAAAAACTCGTAATAGAAGCTCTCATTAAGAAGTTATACCATATGTTCGTGAGGGAGGGAGAGGTGTAGATTAATATAACAGCCGGCTAATTCCTCATTCCCGCATCTCGCGTAATAATGAATTTCTAAAGGTCGCGCGGAAAACATACACCCACGAAAATCCTTGAAATAACCGGCTTCCTGCGGCGAAATCGTCAGCGTGTACGCGAGTACGTTATACGTGTGTGTGTCTGCGCGCGCGCGCCCTTTTTTCGAGCGCAGTCGAGCGAGACTTTGCGTAAAGCGGGAAGAGTGAAAACATGAAAAAACAAGATGACTCATCGACGCGTAAACAGGGAATAAAAGATAAAAGGCGATTAAAATATTATTATTTCGCTGTGCTCGGAATTGGAACGGGCGCGTGAACAAAATAATCGCTTTTCGGACCGATTTTGTATATTATCGAAGAATCGCGTGGCACCGCGATAAAATATAAGTGTTATCGGGATAAAAATTAAACGTTCTTACACTGTCAAAAATGTACATGTAAAATTACAATTATTATAGCGGGCAATATTGGGACCATCCATTAAAGGTGTATATTTACATACGTTTGTAAATTTACACCTTGTAGGTAAAATTATTTCCTTATTCAATAAGTAAACTGCTTGCTTTTAATTGTGTAAATTTTACAATTTGTTGCAATTTTTCATCAAGCATAAACAAGTGTTTACACAGCAAAGAGTAAAAAAAGAATTTATTTGGTAAAAGTACATAGATTTAAATATTTCCATTATTAATAGTGTAATCGCTACACTTATTATGCATGTAATTTTACGTACTTTTTTTACAGTGTAGGCCTGATTTTTCATTTTTCTGGTTAGCTGTTAAACCAGAGGTTAGTCGACTCCCCCCCTCTTTTCCTATATTATTATCGAAGAAGAGACAGGTAATCGGCTAACCTCTGGTTAACACTTAACCAGAAAATGCAAAACCGGACCTTAGAATGATTCGACGTGATTCTGAATTATATTATGCAAGGTTCGGCTCACCTGAAAGCACCGTGGATTTCCCTGCCCGATGCCATCGTCACTGCGATATCAGGTAACGATCCTGAAACGAACGAAAAGGCATTAGTCTTCGTGTAAACATTCTCGAGAAAAGATCTCGCAGGTTTTTCCGCATATCGAGGGCCCCCGTCACGGCGTCGTTGCATCCGTTCTCATTTCTTTCCTTAAACAAGGCGACCTCTCTTACGCCCGTACAAATCGCTTTAACGTGAACGAGGACGGCGCTCTTCGTCTTCCGCGAGTTTTCTCATGCGAAACGAAACTGCTCCTCGGCAAGGAGAACAACACGACCGTTATTCACGAATGCAAGACGAATCCGCAGCTATATCGTCTGTTAATTGCATCGCGAAATCGAAATCGTTCGCAATTAGGCGCAAACTTGAAGACGCGTCGCGTAGAAAAACGTGGCGAACTCTCTAAAAGTCAATCGGCGCATTCCCATACAGCACGCAAGATATGCATGTCTAATCAGTGAATATTCACTGTTTTCAATGATAATCCACTGATTGGCTTTTAGAGAGAAGTGAGAGACAGGGGGCGAGGTCGGAGAGGAGATTCGTTTAAATGAAATATGAAGTGATATTTCATTATTTCGCAAATAACTTTGTGATACTTCTGAAAAACTGTCCAACCGGCTTTTACCGGGAAGCGTTTCGTTAATGCCCGACGTTTAAACGTATAACTGCAAAATTTATCTCCGTGCTCCAATTATGACAATGCGCGCATCTGTTAACCCAGCGGTAACGTTACATATTTCCAGCCGCGGATGACGTGTCAGTACTTAAGGCTTAACGACGCGCGAAACTCGGCTCTGTAATTCGCTCGTCGGAGACAACGTCGTCGCAATTCGGGCCCGGACAATGAAGCCGTTCTCCTCCCACGGGATTGGTATAATACCGCACTATACCTCATCGGCGACGTCACGCGTCTCTGAGAAAGACTATCGTGCCACAAGGTATACCCCCATTTATCCAGGAGACAACGAGGCCGTGTGTCCGCGATACGTTTCGCCCGGAGGCTCTAAATTCTGAACGAGTTCGCTCGTCCGCCCGATGAAAAACGACCCGATCGAAAATGACAACGGGTCTTTATTCCAAAGCTCCCGTCGGCGGGATCACGGCCTCTTATGTAATCGCGCGTTAATAGTTGCAGCACGTCGAGACGCCGCGGTGCAGACGTTCCTGGAACGTACAGTTGCACGAAATTCGAAGAGCCGGGTTTGTTCACCGGCAATTCTGAATTCATATCTAGGGGGGAGGGAAAGAGCGGAAATCATATAATCCCCGAGCTTCTCTCTCCGCAGTTCGTAATCTGCAGCTTCTGAAAACGCGAGATTAAGACGGCTTGGATATATAAGCCCTCGAATTCTTCGGCTGTGTAGAGGAGCGCTACCACCACCTAAATATACGACATCGCGATTACTCTCGGCGAACCTTTTTACTTTATAATAACGTTCCATAAAACTTGATGTATAATGGTCTAAAATTAGCCCGCCGGTCTCGCGGCAGGTCGATATCGAGCGTGCTAGACAAATAGGCACTGTCTTAAATTTGGCACGGCAAATGGACAACGCCGGTCGTGCCGCATTGATATTTTACAATTGTAAAACGTGGAAACGTCGGGTTTTCGGCGTTTCGGGGGAGGGTGGGAGGGAAAAAGCCTCCGCGTCCGGCGAACGAGCGGCCAGTCTATAAATTGTTGATTGTGCTCGAATGTCGGGAGTGACGTCTCGATCGTGATAGATCGATTTTCTCCGCCCGGTAGCCGTGCATCCGTCGACCGACACTGACATACCGTCGTCTTCTTTCATCTTTTATGGGACGCGCCCGCACGCGCTCGATTTTTCTATGCAAATTGCAGCCCCTCTCTCTATTTAATGAAGATCGATTGACCGTCGCGCGTAATATCGAGCCATTTATGACGGGGAATTCCTCGAGAGGAAGCTGCTCTCGTCTCTGATCACTCCTTTCATCCCTCGAGCGTTCCCCCATTTAGATCAGTTTGTCAATCTTGACGAGGTATCGACTAGAAATTTCAGGGGAAATACGAGCTAATGTATTGACCTTTAACTAGAAATAATTTGCCTGTGAAGAGCGTGGAAGACGTAATGCATTACGTTAATGTCATAAATCACGTCGAGTGGGGCAGATTTATTTTGCAAATTTAATCTTTGTTCCAATCTAATTTCTCGCAGCTTTCAACTTTATTCCTGAAACGTCATTTTCCGTATTACCCATATGTACATGTATGGTTTTTAATGCCTTTCATAAAAATTGCGCGAAACGTCATAAACTAATGCAAACCTCCGATTTATCCCGAAACATTGTTTTTCCGGGAAGCTTTTATCATTCGCAGTCTAGAACGCAAATTTCAAAGCCACCGTCTATATTTGATTTTTGTAAAACTTACAAACGCTTATTGATTCGAGAATGGTTAATATTCCGTAATGGAAGTTCGAGGGAATAGAGAGAAAGGGAGAGTTTTGACCTTTTCGATTGCCAGGAGTGGCAATCGTATGCATTAATTGATACAGCGGATACGCGGTCGGATTACACGAGGGCACAGCATCGCGGTGCAATGTTAAAGGTCACCGTTGTACAGGTTCTTCCACGCATCGCGCGTTTTTTCCGCTAATATTTCAACTAAAAAAAAATATTTGCCTCGTTGTCTCCGTGGCTTAACATTTTAATTTATATCCGTATGTCCCTCTGGGTCGAGATAAAAAGTAAAATTTATGCTAGTTCAATTGTAAAAGGTACTTTTGCTTCGGATATCACATAATTTTAGATTTACGTTTCAATCTGTGTCTGGATTTTCGCTTGAGGAAGATGTTAACTCAAAGTCTCTGTCGAGAAATACATATATAGATGATGTTTATGATATGTGACATATGAGATATACCTAGTACGTCCTACGTACAGCGTTACGCAAGACATATGTGCATACAAATATTATAATTAGTATCGATTCCCGCATTACTCGTCATACTGATATATCATCGAATTCTCGTGGATTGTCATGAATAATCCTTACACGACATCTGTGCTTTACAATGTCGAGCGCGAATCGGAGACGCGAGTTAACATTATGAATTGTAGATTCGAAATGCAAAACCACACGAGCGCCGTGTACCGTTGAATAAATTAAAAATAAATTTTAATAAAGAATAATTCAATAATGAATAAAAAATATAACGTACACACGGTATGTGTGTTTTTTCGCAGGTCTGCCGTGCAACGGTGTATTCTCGAGATTAATTAGAATCGCAAAACTCAAGGAGATAAATTTTATTCCTCAAATAAACATTGAATGTATCCGCGCGATAACAGCGTATTCGTTGAGATTAATTCAACGCGCGTACGGAATATTCAGCGCGCGTTAATTTTACAATACGTTGAACATTTCGCAGCGACGATAAATCCGTTGGTACACGGCGTTTGGTTTTTCCTTTTTCTGCAACTCCTGTGACGTTGGTGTCAACAATACCGGCGGATTGCTGTGTGCGTGTCTGTGCAAAGTTTACGCGGTGCACCTTGCTATCGTTCGCGCGACGAGAGTCGAGCGAGCAGGTAGCGCACAGACTTCTATATATAGAGGGAAGGGTCCTCTGTTATGAGATTGGATCTTAATATAGGATAGCGAGGTTTCTGTTAAATTAATAGGCATCATCAGTTGATTCCACCATGAATTTATTGCCCTTGGAGCGAAATCTGCTTAATGGAAAATTCATTGTTAAGTTATGTAATCGTTGCGAGAAAAGATTTATCATGGAATTTGGGTGTTGAAAACCTGCTGTTTCATATTAGAGACCTACCAGAGGACTTTTCTCTACTACCAGACTGCTACATTCAAGCTAAAAAGTTAGGCAGGAGTAAATAAAGTAGTGTGTGTGTGTGTGCCAATGACACACCGATGCACACATACTACTTTATTTACCTAACGAGACATGGCGGAACTCTTGCCTCACTTTTCAGCTCGACAGTAGCAGTCTAGTAATACAGAGAAGTCTGTGAGGTAGCGACGCGAGCCGGCTCTGTCAATGGTCGCGTTATTATTCTTCAAAACGCGTATATTCCTCGTTACAATTATCAGCCCACGTGATTAATTGACTCCCACGATTTATGAGCGTGCTGGAGCAACGGCTACTTATTAAAGCCGATGTACGACTTGTTCTTTTCAAGTCGCGACACCGATAGATACTGGGGGAAGCGCGACATTAAGATCCTCCGCCCTTAAATATGCGTCCAAGACGCTGATTTGCGAAACATCGCGGGTGACGAACGACGCATCTTCTTCGCTTTATCGTCGCGTAATAAAAAAATGCGAGGAAGCGTCACGCAATTAAACTGTCTGGGATTACTGTGCTCTGTTAGCGCGATACGTGTAGTCGCAATTAACTTTGTTTTCGCGAGTGAATCATTCGCGTTTGTCATCAAGAAGTAGTAACAAGGAACAACTAACGGTTAACCAGACAACTAAACTGAGAGTCAAGAGAAGAGAAGGAAGCTCTCGGGAGACAACGGAGCACAGTGTAGTAAATAATGTCTCGTTTTATTTTTTCTGTGATATTAATATTTTTTTACAATTTTCGCAATAAATTTAGAATAAAATATTTAGACACTAACACCCTGTCGCGGCTCTTAGTCCTTTATTCCTTCAAATTTGCGTTTATCACATTTGAGCCATACGAATTTTATTAATTTAATAATTTATTATTAATTATTTATTACGCGCAGTTCAAGAAAGTCGAAACAGACGCGTAGACGACACCTTTATACTGTTATTGCGACAAGTATTATCGTATGCCTCGGTGGTCGAATTGGTGAGACGCCTGCCTAGAGTGTAGGGAGGTCCAGGTTCAAACCTTGGCTGGGGTAATTTTCGCAATAAATTTTCTGCATTAGTAGAAACGCCAGGTATGGTCAAGAAAACACTGACATTGTTGATTATTTATCTCTGACATTTGTGTTTGCATATATTTTTAAATTAGCAACAATTATTTCAGTATTACAACAAGTACGAAGTAGATGTGTCATAAAGATC